TGAGCATTTCATGGTTTCACATCAAGTGCCCATCTGTAATATTTGTATTGCTAATGGCTGCTAGGGATGCCAGCCTCCAGGTGGGACCTGGGGATCCCCCAGAATTATAGCTCATCTCCAGACTACAAAGATCAGTTCTCCTGGAGAAAATGGATGCTTGGAAGGGTAGACTCTATGGCAATTTACCCCACTGAGGTCCCCGTCCTCCCCAGGTTCCATACATAAATCTCCAGGAGTTTCCCAACCTGGATCTGGCAACCCTACTGGCTGCTCATGCCTTTATTTGGTTAATGGCTCAAAATGGTTTTTCCTGGGTGTTAACCGTTCAGAGAAAAGCTCCCTGATGGTTATGTAATGTATTAATGAAAGACTGGAGGACGTGATCTCACCCAGTGGAAAGAAAGGGAAAGGTGTGTGTCTCCAGGTTTGTGAAAGATAACTGCTGTTTTTGTTTTTTGTTTTTTAATTATACATCACATTTATTAATTCAACATATTTGGTCCCTAAAAGGAAATGGGTTGATTTATAAAGTTTTTTTTTTAAGTAAACCCAATTTATGGAAGGACAAAGGGTGATAGATAAGAAGCAGAAAGGATTTTTAAAAAGCCCCTCCATATAGAAGAACCCATTTTCATGCCTGAAAGAAAAAACTAAAACAGATGGATAAATAAATATATATTTTTAAGGACCAAATGGATGTTATGCTAGCATAGAAGAATCACTATGAACTGGACTTTCAGAAAAAGAACTCCCGGAGGGATGAGCCAGGGCTTCTTGAACATTAAAGGACCAAACATATGCAGGTTCGTGCATCCCTGATCCTAGCAGATGAGAGACTGCTGGGGAAAGCAGTGACTGGGTAGATTAGGGAATGTGTGGATCTACCCCCTTTCCACCCCCACCCTGCAGCAAAAAGCCTCTATATTCTCTGCAGGTCAGAATTCCCCAGACAGATAGCAACAGGTGCTACGTGCCCCCTGCCCAGTTAATGTGAAACCCCCCCCCCCATGCCTGTCCGTTCCTTGGAGGGTGAAAATACCACCGTGTTCCCACTGACTTTAACAGCACAGTTTAATAAGTCCATCCCATAATGCATGGCTGATTTCAAGTGCATCATCTCACTTGCATCCTTCATAATTAAAATACAAAAATGTACTGAGATGAGAAAGTTGTTGTGTTGCTTGGTCTCTCAGTGCTGGGTGATTTCTACATCACATGATATACGTTTATAAAACAAGATATGCACCACTTTTAATTACTGCTCTGTCAAACGTTCTTTTACAAATTGCTCCCGAGGTGCTTTGGGGAAGTGGAATCTGCTGACTATGAAGAAATGTGTGTCTATAATTGTGCTGTAAGAGCATGGAGCAACTGCAAGTGTCTTACCTACAAGAAGAATAACTAATGAACACAGGGAATACACATGCCCTGAAGGTAAACACTGAGAGGCATCTACTAATGAATTAACTGAAGAAGCTGAATGCAAATAACATACCCAGGCATTTCACTTATAAACCTTAAAAGAAACCACTCTGAAATAAAAATACAGTAAGCACCTAGCTAAAAATATCAAGGCCAGTATTAAATGAGAGGAAAACAAAGAAAGAGAGGCAGTGATTGTTATTTAGCAAAGTCACTGATCTTTTCATATTCAGTAAGTTAATTGGCATGGTCAGGTCAAAATTTCAAGTTTCTTATTAGATTTGTTTGTTTTGCTGTTAAGTTGCAGATGCCTTATGGTGTCCCCTTAGTGGTTTCAAGGCAAGAGATGTTCAGCGGTGGTTTGCCATTGCC